CTTGGCCCGCCGCCACTGTATCTCTGGTTACCTCTGTTTACCTGTGTTTGTCTATGACACCAGAGTCACCAGCCAGGGCTGCTGGGACCATCAGCTTAAGATCTCTGCTGCATCTCCCATGTGGTCTCCTCTCCCAATGCCCTCCCATCCTGGGCTCCAGCCAAGCAAGGCCACTTGCTGTCCTTCACACACCAGGTGCCAGGGCTGCGCTCCTTCCACTTTGCCTGGGATGCCCTCTCTACGCCCTCCCCTCGCCTCCCTGTCTGTGGAAATTCACCCCTGTAGGGAGCTCCATGCCTTTCCTTTATTTTCTTTCTTCCTTTTATTATTTATTTTCCCATTGAAAGAGAAAAGCAGAGAGCTGGGCATCCCCAGCAGCTGCTCACGCTACATCTACCCTGTCTCAGCTAGCCTGGGTCACAGACACACACGTGTGCCCAGCGTGCTCAGAGAGCTCCCGGGCTACAAACCCAGGACCTTCCCCATGCGAGTCGGGTTGCATTACCACTGCACCACCACCCAGCCCTTGCTCATACTCTCTTAGCTCTTCCCACCTGACACCTGGAGCTGCCAGGGCACAGGCAGGTCTGACTGGCAGCTCCAGAAAGTGAGTGGATTGAATAGAAATGGCCGAAGCTGACCTGAACTGGGGGCTTCCCTTGTCTCCTGGATGTCTGGATCAGCATAATGAGGAAACATTCACAAAGCACCTACTGTATGCCTCCTCTGGGCTGGCGGCTGGAGTTACAGAGATGCATTGGAACAATTCCGGCTCTTGGCTCTGAGTCTCTGTAACTGCTCATGCTCTTCCTCATGCGAGTCCGTGCCTCATCTTCTAAGTGCGAGCTTTCACAGGGCGAGGGCCGGAGCCATGGCTACTTCTGTGCCTTCTATGGAGCATGGCACCCAGTGGGCCCTCAATGAAGCTTTCTTTCAAGATTTTGCAAGCAAGCAAGATTTAAAGGTCACAGTACAAGAGCAGGAACATCTCTCGTGGCTGTGTCCACAGTGCTTAGCATGGAGCACGGCAGGTAGAAAGTGCTCGGGAATGCTAATAATTGCTCACACTCAGCACATGCCGAGCACGGTTCTAACACACGAACCAGCCCAGGCTCTCGGGAGCTCCCTGGACTACAGGGCCAGAAACCACAGCCTGACTGTGGTCCCAGTCCCCAAGCTGGTTGACTTGGAAATACACTGGGTGCCAGTGTGCCCAGGTTCCTGGCAGGCTGGAGCACTGTAGGAAGGGCTTACGGAGTGACTAGGCCCTGTGAGGGTGCTTCTCTCTCTCTGCCCTCTCTCTCTTACATGTGCTAATAAAATCTTTAGAGCCCAGATGGTGGCACAGTGGCGGGGGGGACGGGACCCCCCGGTTCATGTCCCTGGGTCTTGCCGTGTATACCAGGCACACTCACAGGCTAGAAGGGCCTGGGGCCAGCTGGGACTAGGGGTGGGTTACAGCATGAGGACCCTGTTAGGGATGCCTCTCTCTCTGCCCTTCTCTGCCATGGAGGAAATAAATAAATGGACTTTTAAAAGAACAGTCAAAATGGGGACCAGCAGCGGCCCGTCTCTCTCTGCCATGGAGGAAATAAATAAATGGACATTTAAAAGAACAGTCAAAATGGGGACCAGCAGTTGGTGTAATGACTATGTCTTTGGACTCCCATGTAGTCAACTACGGTTCAAATCCCAGACCCAGTGGCTTAAACTCATGTCAGGTGCATGTGTGTGCATGCCCAAGATCCTGAGAGGAGAATGGAGGAGAAGGAATTGAAGCGTGGCTATGCTCCCGCGGGGTGATTTCTTGCGTTCTGTGTTTCTGCCCCTCTCTGTCTTTCTGGAGAGCACATGGGCCCTATAGCAAAACCTCTCAAAAAAAAAAAAAAATCAAAGTGGTTTAGTGATTTGCTCTGGAGATTACAAAAATTTACTAACTTAATCCTCTCAGCCAATCTAGGGCAGCTATCATGATCCCTATTTCCCACACAGAGAAATGAAGTGGTTTATCCAATGTGGCCCAGCTAGGAAGTGATGGAGCTGGGATTTGAACCAGCATCTTAGGCTCCAGAATAGACAATGGGTCAGAATCATAGAAAGAGCCCAGGCCACGACATCAAACAGGTGTGGACTCACATCCCAGTTCTGTAAAGAAACTCTGAGCCCAGCTTCCTTATCAATAAAGAGTTGCTTTGAAAAATAAACATAATGGCTAGGAAGAGCATGATACAGTCTCTGCCCCATGGTCAGGGCTGGGTACGCAGGTCCCCACCTTTCCCTCTGTCCTGATGAGGCACCTCATGGGAGGCTGGGAGGGTGAGGTCCTGGTGCAGAGACCAGGGCCCTCGTCATCCTACTTGGCCACTCACTAGCTGGGGGATCTGGGCCAGGGATGGGCACTTGGTGGGGGGCATGCCCCCATGCATGGTGGGCCTAGGAGCACCCTCATGCAGGGAAGCCTCCCTAGCCCACCCCAGCAAGGGAGGGGAGGCTGGCAGCGATGGGGCCAGGGAGGAGGATCCTACACTCACACTCCTGTCCCCACACTGCAGCAGGCGGCTGCCTCTGCTGCTCACGTCGCGGGGTCTGCCTCTCGGCCTTTGTGCTGCTCCTGCTGGCCACGCTCACAGCTCTCATTGCCCTGGTCATCATCCTTGGACTCCCGCCACGCACGCCAGGTCAGGTGGTCAGACCTGCTGGGGAGGGGCTGGAGCACAGAGGGATGGGGCACCCTGACTCTGCCTGGTTTCTTCACTAAGTGACCTCTGGGCTCTTCCTTATGGCACATGCCCGGACACACCTACACACACTGATGTATGTGTGTCTCAGAACCTCCATTTGCACATCTGCAGCATGAGTTATTGACAGGACTCAGCGCCTCCTCCAGGAAGCCCTCCCTGACCCCAACTTAAGTTAGGAGCCTCATCTCAGCCACCACAACCCCTGCATCCCCTGAGGCCCTGGGTGGTGCTGTCTGCCACCACCACAGAAGACAGGGATG